ACTCTCGAAAAAAAATAAAAATAATTCGAACAAGATTGAAGAAAAAGAAGAAAAATCGGACCAAATGGGGGAAAAGAAGAAAATTCGAACCTAGGGGGAAAAAAGGACGAAAATAAAAAAGAATAGGATAGGAAAAGTTTAACTTAACACACTATCAATCACCTCTCAATGAAAGCACCAATGATGAAGGATCGTGTGTTACGCCTAACTCGTTTGCTTAGAAAGACACGTTGCCACGGTAATTAGCCTCGCTCCCTCGGTTATTAGCCTAACTTTCTCACAAACTTGAGTTCACTCGGTAATTAGCCTCGCTCCTCGGTTGTATGATAACACTCTCACGAATATTAAACCCACGGATGAACAAATGTTCTTTTCTATTCAAGTCATCAATCTTGGACATGAAAAACAATGAGAGAAGACCCCTATTTATAGATCCTAATTAAGTCTAATCCTACTCTAACTAGATCTCTAATTAAAGCAATTAAATATTAAATCCTAACAATACTAGAAGTAAATAAAAGCAATAAGGAAATAGAATCCTAATTAACTAGCAAGTCTTGAACACCAAGTTGCTTGATGCTCAAGTCGCCGCCCAAGACCGCTGGCCGTCTTATGCGTCGTGCGCGTTCGATCCCTAGCCTCCCGTGTCGCGCGCGCCTCCTTGCCTTGCTACTCCTCGTGGCGTGCGGCAACCCGCGCGCATGTCTCCTACGCGACGCCTGTCGTGCTTGTCGTCCGCGCGCGCGCCGCATCTAACGCGTCGCTGCCACCTGCGTGCTCGCCGCCTACCCGTCCTAGTCCTCCGCGACTTAGGACGCCCACGCCTGCACTACACTCACGCGCCTTCGCTCGCCCCGCGTTCCTGCTGGCTTCCTCGCGTGCATGCACTCCCGCTATTCCTAGGCCTGGAAGGCCTAGGCCATCGCCCGCGTCCGCCCACGCGTCGCCCATATGCTCGCTCGACCACCCGCTCACATCAATGGCCGATGCGCGCTGCTCGCTCGTGCTCGCCCATTCGCACATACACGCAACCGTCCGCTGGCCCATAGCAATCCCCGACATGCATCAACCACCCATCTTCCACCCCTCACGCGCTCATTCTCTTAGCCTCCATTCTCCAAGCACGTCGCTTCCTAGCACAAGCTTTGCACCAATTGTGCATCTCATTAATCCTTGGCTTGTGCTGTCTCTTAGCTCTCTTGGCCTTGCGCCTTCTTGACCTCGGTCCACATCTTCTCAACCAATCTCGCTTGCATGAAAGTTGATAAATCGGGCTTTGTGGCTCTTTGAGCATGTTC